ATGATAAAACACCACTCCAATGGACAGTGATCTTAATGCTAATGAAAGGATTTGGAGGTCCCCTGTTGGTCCAGATGTTAAACCCTTAGGTGTGGAACAATTAAGAGAGGATGGAATCCACTTTATCAGTGATGAGGTGTTTGAGCCAATGGTGATAACCTACTACCCTAAAGGCGTCTCAGCATTTAAACTGATACAATCATGCCAGAATGTACTCCCTGTGTAGCTGGAGTTATCTCCAGTCCTGCCAGGGCCTGCAGCCACTCAGACCCAAATAAACACACAGAGACTTATATTACTTATAAACTGTATGGCTGTGGCAGGTTTCTTGCTATGTAGTTCTTATATCTTAAATTAACCCATTTCTATTAATCTATACCTTGCCACATGGCTCATGGCTTACGGGTACTTTACATCTTACTTCTCATGGTGGCTGTGGCTGGCAGCATTTCCTGACTCAGCCTTCTACTTCCCAGAATTCTCCTCTCTCTTTGTCCTGCCTATAATTTCTGCCTGGCTACTGGCCAATCAGCACTTTATTAACCAAACAGAGCAACACATTCACAGCATATTGAGCGATAGATATCCACAGCACCCCCTGTTGTCTAGCCTTGCATATATCTGGGATACCAGGAAACTATCAAAGAGCTTACACTTCAAAGTCACAGATAGGAAGACAATCATGCAAGAGATTCTAGCATATAAATAAATCCTTAAGACTTAAGAGGTCAGAAGATCAATCTCACTCCATTTAAAGAGACAGTGTGTAGCATGAAAATTAAAAGGTTTTATTAATAAAAACAAACCTGAGGCCAGTTATTGGGATGAACACTGGAAGATCAGAGAAACAGAACAAGCCACAGCTAACCTCACCTGGCCAAATTCTCAGCTGATCTTGTTTCCTCAGACTGGAAGCCTCTGTGTCCTCATATCCAAATGAATCTCAGTTGAACTGCTGCTAGAAGCCTGAAAGCTTAACCAGCCAAATGCTTAACCAGCCAAATGCTTCTAGTTTCTGGTCCTCACGCCTTATGTACCTTTTTGCTTTCTACCATCACTCCCTGGGATTAAAGGCTCACTTTCTGGGATTAAAGGCGTGAGTCACCATGCTTGGCTGTATCCTTGAACAGATGGATTTCTACCTCTGGAATGCTAGGATTTAAGGTGTGTGCTACCACTGCCTATCCTAAGTATCTACTGGCTTTTCTGTTCTCTGACCCCAGATAAGTTTATTAGGGTACACAATATTTTGTCGAACACAATACCACCACATTTCCTCTCTTTTTGTCTAAAATTAAAAAAAGCTTATAACTAATACAAGAAAAACTATCCAATAAGTATATATAATATATACAGTCAAAACTTATATTAATAATGTCTAGTCCATTAACATTTGATAGATTCAGACAAAAAACTCCATTATATATATTAACAATGTCCAGTCCAGTAACATTTGATAAACTCAGACAAAAAATTTTCATTACTTATCTTATTTAAAACAAGTAGTTCCTTTTAAAAGAGATTCCATAATCTCCTTTTTTAATCTTATATCCATATTCTCACTCTTTTTTTATAATAAAGTCAATAATTTACCTTTTGTCATTTTTATATCTTCCTCTTTTTCTTTTTAGTGTAGATTCTGTTATCTACCCATTTATCTTATTATTTCTTTATCTTTTTTCTAGAGTAGATTCGATGATCTACTTCATATCTATATTCTCTTTTTTTTTAAACAAAAACTCTGAATCTAATCTCCTTGTTTAGCTTTTTTTCCTGACCATCAACAATTAACAACTTGTAACCAACCATCATAAACAATGACATGACAATATCCATAATTCAAGTGACCAAAAATCTCCCATCCCACCCCTTGGGGATGTGGGTATCATTTTCTTAAAATTACTTTTTCTTTCTAGGGTGAAGGCACCTTTAGGGGATTCTGAAAAGAAAATTTTTGGGTTAATTGTCAAGTCCTGTATCATTTGTCCAGTCTCTGCATAATGAGAAAGTACAGGGCTTGTCTCAAGTCCTTGTTCAAGTAGTCTATCAGGCTGGATCATCTCAGCTAGCCATCTCAAAATTGTCCTGAGTAGTTTGTAGTCCAAAGTCGATGTTTCTGTGGTGTTAATCAGCTTAATGGTTTTACCATAGTCCATGTGGAATCATCATTGTGGGATCCTGTCATCTTTTTGAAGATTTTAAAGTCACTCTTAGGCATGGTCATGGTTTTGGGGAACACAATACCACCACAACAGTGAAATATAGTAGAACAGAAAGATATGCTCATGTGACCAGTGGTCCAGGACCCTCGCTGCATGATATTGAGAATACTAGTTAATCTATCTGCATATTGAGAATGATAGCAATGGCTTCCTCACTAAGGGCATGTTGAAAATAAATGAGGGAAGTCGTGTAGAGAGCCTGTACCATAACAAGAGCACAGGGATAATTCTATAAATGTGAATTTGTATTTTTGTTGTTGCTCTTTTCCCATTCTAGTCAAGAAGTTGTTTTTGAAAGAGTAAGAGGCAAGCTGTTCTGTAAAGGGTGGGCAAGCTCTAGGCAGCAGGTGAAGCATGGAGGAACAAACTAATGCTTTCTAAGGGATTAGTGAGTAAGATTTGGCTGGAGCCAAATGAGATTGCTTGAGAGAAAGAGTTCAGAGAGGCATAAAGGAGGTAGAATGTTTGTAGAGAGCATTAAGTAGTGGCTTAGGGGATTTTCAACATATCCTAAGGCTGACTGGATGTTGTACAGGTTGAGAGTGGGAAGGTGAAGTCGTAATATTTTTAAATAAAATAGTTGGTAATAGTTCATGGGCACCTACCGATTTAATCTTTGTACCTTAATTCACTTAATCTTGTACCTATACCACAAGGTGAATTAAATGTTAATTATCAACTTAATCCTAATCCACAGTGTATGAAGATCTTTAACAAAAAGCATCTCATTTGTTTCTCAGCCCTAGTTTTAAGTAGTCAATCTGGAGCCATACACATATAGGAAAGCATATTTGCTAGGTATCAATGGATTAGAAGAATGCCTGCAGGCTAAGTCCAGTCCACGATCAGTGATATAATGAACAGACTTTAACAGGGAGCTAAGTTTGTTCATTCTTTTACATGTTGTCTATGCCAGTCTCAAGATTTACTCTCTAACCTTTAATCTAGAATAGTGGGAAGCTGTGTATAATAGCTTCTAACTGGAACTCTATATTAACCATAAAAAGATAGGTTTGGGAAATCATGTACACACGACTAAAGTACTCATTGCAACAACTATAGTAGGTGATATAGAACCTCAGAATTCTTAAGGATGCTGTCATAAAAACATAGACTTAATTTCCTACAGATAGAATAAATTTGGATAAATGTGTAGAGTGATCTATTGTTTCTGTTAAGGTTAAGCCAAGAATGAAGGCAATAGTGTAGTGGGTTTACTCAGTCTACAAATATTTAAGCCTCTCAGAATAAGGCTTGCAGAGCTTAATCAGAATAGACATTCATGAAAGAATGAGCAGATACTACCAAATCTTGCCATCTTTTCCTGCTCTTTGCTGCTACTGATACCCTTAGCTTCAGTTTGTCACATATGCATAATAATCTATTCTTTCTCTGAATTGCAAATAGCCGTGTAATATATACACTTATCCTTACTCTCCCTTATCCACAGATTTAGCTACCCAGGCTCAACTACAGTCTAGATGGAAAATCACAAGGATGAATGGTTCATGTGTTGATTTCTGGGATCAACTCTTACCCAACTCTGTATGCCTCTCTATGTCTGCATCACTCCCATAACTTCATTTTATTATATACACAGCATTTTTTTACATCATCATCAAAGCTGTGAGCACAATATTTTGAGAGACAACTCATGCTCACACAAATTTTTATGACAGTCTTTATTATAGGTGTTTACCATTAGTTTTTGTTTTAGTAGCTTGTTATGCTTAATTTATAAATTAATCTTCATTTACAGGAAAAAAAGGATACTAGTTCCAGAGTTTGCTACTATCTGCCATCATAGATGTCTCACTGGGTGTCGTGGAAGTGTATACAAGGGGCAAAAGAGAGTACTTTTTCTAGTCCATAATTATGTATTCTTTGAATTATCATCTAAATTATCTCTTTATGTATCTTCAACTGCTTATTAACATAGTGATACTAGAGACCATGTCTTTCACCTCTGTGCATATTTCACAGCTTCCAATGAAGAAATGATTCATCTGTTGAGTAGATGACTAAAAGAAGCTTATGGCAAGCTAGAGAGGTGGCTCCCAAACAGCTGTGACTCCAGTTCCAGGAGATTCAGTGCCCTCTTCTGGTCTCCATAGGCGCTTGATTGTGGTGCACATACATACACTCATGTACACACACACACACACACACACACACACACACACACACACACACACACACACAAATAAATAAAATAAAAATATAGCTTTTTAAAGTCCATGAAAATGCTAATTGCAGGTAGTATTTTTCTTGGTCTGTTTTTCCTGATGTTGGGTGTTGTGTCCATTACTCTCTTTGTTTTTGTGACAAAATATATAATTAAAAACAGCTTAAGGTGAGAGAGCATTGTTTTTGTTATCAGGTTGAGAGATATATTTCCTCATGTCAGGGAATAAATGGCAGTAGGAGCTTGTAATGCAGCTTGTTCACACCTTGATTGATCAAGAAACAAAGAGTTCTATCAGCTTCTAAGGCTCACCCTCAGTGAGAGTTTTCCAACTAGGCTGCCTGCAAAAAATTTCCACCTCCCAAAGCAGGACCACCTGCTGGGGACCATAAATTCATAGAAATGAACCTATGGAGGACATTCTACAATAACAGGGACTTTATATGAATCATCCCAAGTACAGCTAGCAACATGAAACGTGGGCAATTAGGAAGTTATTGGTCCCCATGCTACGATATAGGTCTAGTTTAAAATTTCAGTAGTATGAGTTACATGAACTGATGTATGACTTGTGATTTTTTTTTTTTACTTAGGTATAGGAAGGTGGTCTCCAATAACTGTACTGATGGGGTGAGAGAACAGTATACTGCCAAACCACAGAAGTGTCCAGGGAAGGCTCCTCGAGGGCTCCGGATTGTCACGGCAGATGGAAAACTGACAGCAGAACAAGGACACAATGTCACTCTCATGGTGCAACTGGAAGAGGTAAGGCTGACTCCTGTCTGTTCTCTGCTCGGTAGGGCATGTGATATTCTGACCAAATCATGGCTTTGTTTAAATATCCTTGTTCACATTCTCAAGTTTTGTTATTTTATTCTGCTTTCAGCTTCATGTCTGCTGTTATCATCTCTCTTTCCCTGACACATTCTCCAGTTTCTTTCCATTTACTGCAAATTGGTTTTCACTCCTTTGCATCATTATTCTCTTTGGATTCAACCCTACCTTACTGGCATTTTAAGAGAATACACTCTCAAAGTGTGGGAATGGTTTCCCCAGAAAATTTTAACACAGGGACTTAACCAAGTGAAAAAAGGATGTGCTTTTGCCTCTCTCAGCCTAACATCATTGCTTTTCTTTCCAAAGACAACAGGATAGTTAAATGTTCTGGTCAAATACAGCACTCAGTTATAAATTAGTATAATGTCTTTGACAGTTGAGACTTTGTATCTTGGTAACACAACGAGGATATCATTATGAACACTGATCACTCTTTGACAAATGTGTTTGTCTGAAATTTCTAACTACGTAGGTTGTGAATAAAAGAAAAATGTGTTCTATGTACTTAGACTTTACAAAGGCAAACTTGTCATTTTGGAACTAGGTAGATGGTTTCTAAGAATAAGTGTATTAAATAAATTACCTCAGTTGTTAGACTTGGCTATCATCATGTCTTCAACTACATTTTCTGCATACTGAAATTCAGCCAGCATCCTTCTGACCTTGATGAAGATAACAGGATTTTAAAATGAATTAATGAAATCAGCACCAAAGTATGCAAGATTGACTTCCAGCTTACTCTTCTGACAGCCAGTGGCCCTCAATCTTTAATATGCAGAGTTGCCTAGCATATACATGGCCACATATGCACATTCTTATTCAGTTGATTGTGTTGGGACTTAAGAATACTCATTCCTAAGAAATTTACATTTACACACAGTCTTTCCGTAAAGTGAGCAAATAAAACCAGGTCAAGGAGTAAGAGTTGGAAAAGTGAATTCAGAGGATTTGGAGTGTGGCTGGAGGGGAAGATGAAGAATTTAGGATTGTTTTGTATGTTTAATCAAAACCATATGTATTTTTCTTATAATTCCTATTATTTCTGAGATTGTAATTGCATCATTCCCCCCTTCCATTTACTCCCTCCAACCCACCTCATGTACCTCCCTTACTCATATTCAAATTCATGGCCTCTGTTTCTTTAATTGTACATACAAGTAATGTACAGATTGAGTAGATTCTATGTATATATTTAGGGTGTGATATATATATATATATGGGGGGGTGGATGTGTGTGTGTAACAAAATCATCAGTATTTTAACTTAATCTTTCCAAGTCATTGCCTTGGACATTTCCCAGGCTTTTATGAACTGATTCTTAAAAATTCCTTATTAAAATTGGAAAATCACAAGTTATTCTACGCCAAGTAGCATTATTCCTATCAGTGTAAACTATCTGGGAAAATCACAACTCATTCTAGGCCAAGTAGTATTATTCCTATCAGTGTAAACTATCTGGGAAAATCACAATTCATTCTAGGCCAAGTAGCATCATTCCTATCAGTGTAAACTATCTGGGATCTTCTGCTTCAGGCTGAGATTGATTAGCTTGTATCAAACCAAATACACAGAGATAATGAGATGGAAAAAGGGAGAAGAGAAGCAAACTTAAGGAGAGAGGAGGGGACATAGTGGAGGGGGTAAAAAAAAGAACTGCCAAAAAGGCTGGGAAGCTGTGGTCTTTTCTGGAGAGATGGAAAAAATCATCAGGATGAATTCATTATATATTTTACACTGAGTTTTGACTGATTATTTTGATAGTTCATATGCCACATTGTAATATATGATAAATCAGATATTATATCTCTCCTCTGAGGACAGGCTGAGTAGATAGGAATAAGAGAAACAGGTTAGGTCACAAAGAAAAGAGAGAATGATTGAGAAAATCTAATATATTTTTTAATCTATACCATAGTTTTATTATGTATTCCATTTTTTTATTTAAGAATTTTTTTCATTTTACATACCAATCACTATTCCCCCTCCCTCCCCTTCTCCCACTCCCCCCTACCTCCCGCCACCCCCACCCCCCAGCCACTCCTCATAAGAGGAAAGGCCTCCCTTTGGTAGTCAGAAAATGGAAAGATCTCCTTATGGTGGGAAGCCTTACACAAATCTGATCTTATAGGTAATTTATAGTGGCATCAAAATTCAACAAATATTTACAGACAATTAGTTCTACCCTGGAAAATGTAATGCATCTGAAAAGTTTTAAAATGACCCCAAATGAATAATAAAGTGTATCATGACCATGGATGAAGAGGTTCAATATTAAGATGTCAATTTTCTCCATATTGACCTCAGTGCAAGGCAATCCTAATAAAAGTTCCCAATACTTTTTTTGTGTTAATATTAAGCAACTATCATAAAATACGTAAGAATTCAATAGCTAAACAATAAAGAATAGCAAAAATAATCTGGAAGATGCTTCATGAATTTGGATGATTTAGGGCTGGATGATTTGTTTGGCTAATAAAGGTGCTTGCTACCAAGCCTGATGACTTGATTCAATCCCTGGGACCTTTGTGGTAAAACAAGAGAATCAACATTGGCAAGTTGTCTTTTGACCTTCACAAACAGGTTGTGGTATGTGTATGCACATGTGTATATAAATACCATTAAATGGTAAATTAAAAAAACTAAAGTCAGATGAGTTATGAGTAGATTTATTGTATAAATAGCCACACAAAAACCAAGTAGGGAATGAATAGATAAGAACACACACACAGCCGGGCGGTGGTGGAGCACACCTTTAATCCCAGCACTCGGGAGGCAGAGCCAGGCGGATCTCTGTGAGTTCGAGGCCAGCCTGGTCTCCAAAGCGAGTTCCAGGAAAGGCGCAAAGCTACACAGAGAAACCCTGTCTCGAAAAACCAAAAAAAAAAAAAAAAAAAAAGAACACACACACACATGTTTGTAGTATATAAGTGTATATATGTATGTGTATAATTTCAACAGATTGTAATATTTGCAATAAATTATATATTTATTATGTAATCATATAGGAATACATGGATTTTTATCCTCATATAATACACAAAATAATTCTAATTATATTATCAATATAATTTTGAAACATAAAACCAACTGTGGTAAAATACAAAGAAAAGTATCTTCATGGACTTGAGTCAGGTCAAGGTTTTTAAAAGAGCAAACAAAATCTACTAAGTGTAATGGAAAATGTAATTGTGTTAGACTCCATTCCAGTTAAAAATTCTGTGCTTTATAACCTCATTCAGAAAATAAAAAGGAAATTCCCTAGTGGGTAAAGATATGCTAACACATAATTGCAAAAAAAGACTTGTAACTAGAAAAGTATAAATAAATACTACAAGTAAATAAGAACAACATTAACAGTTCAGTTAAAATGCAGAAATGCTAATTTAGAAAGTTTTCAAAGATGGTTTTCCAATAGGCAATAGGCTTGTAAGTATTGTCATTATTGGAGGCTGGAGAGATGGCTGTGGTGAAGAGCATGTACTACTCTTGCCTCGGATTCAGTCCCCAGGATTATGATGGCTAGAAAACAACTGGAACTCTAGTTCCAGAGGATCTGATGCCATCTTCTTGCCTCTGTGGGTACCAGACACATTTATGGTGTGCAGATATAAATGCAAGGAAAACACTCATACACAAAAAGTAAAAATAAATAAAACATTTAAAATGTCTTAATATTAATGCACATCAATGAAATGCAAATTAAAGCTGTAATAACTGTAATAAAATTACTGCATACTCTCAGAAAAGTGTATGTTAAAAGACTGACAATTTAGCTGCAGAGAATATAAAGTAACCGATCATCTTTGCAATGCTTGATGGCAGGTGAATTGGCATTGCCATTTTGGAGAAATGTTAAACAGCAAGTACCTCTGCTGAACCTTCAGGTTACCTCTGACTCACAGCTTTCTACTTTTCATTGTTTGAGTTAGCTACAACTGAATAAGGTCTAGAAATATGAAACTGTTAATTTTCAGAAATAAGTACTCAGCTTTGAGTAGCTTTTACTACGGTATATTATTATAGCTATTCTATTTTAGTACTGGTCAATTTCTGATTGTGTTACTATGCCTGATTATAAATTAACTAGTATAAATTAAATATATAGTATCTTGTGTGGAATGATATATATATTACATTGCACACACATTTTGCATATGTGTGGAGATGGTTCTATTTGTGGTTTCAGGCATTCACTAGAGAATTTGAAAGCTAATCTTGTCAGATAAGGGGAAACTATTGTATAAATCATCTGTGCATTCACATATGTACCAGAAAATATGTAAAATTGTCTATATAATATGTATAAGATGCCTAAGCTAGAAACAACATAAGCACAGGTAATAGATAATAGAATATTTATAGCATACTTAAAGAGTGGAATATTGTGCTGTAGTGAAAAAGAACTAACTCAAGCTATGGGCACATACTTGGGGATGAATCCCATTCTAATAATTAGCTATAGAAGTAAGACTGGAAAAAATATCACATGTATGTGTATTATTGCAGGTGGAGTTTTCTGTCCCACTAGCCAGCTTCCAGATAACTGCACTGAGACATATTATTAATTATAAATGCTTGACTAGTAGCTTAGACTTGTTACTAACTAGCTCTTACAACTTAAATTAACTCACATTTTTTATCTATATTCTACCACATGGTGGTACCTTTTATTCAGCAAGGCATATTCATCTTGCTTCTCTCTGCCTCTCCTGGCAATTCTGCCCTCTCTCTCCAAACTCTCTTTTTGTCTGCAAGTACCACCTAATCTTTTCCTTCCTAGCTATCGGCCAGTTAGCTCTTTACTAACCAATCAGAGTAATAGATATTCACATTATACAAAAAGATTGTTCCACAACATATGACTTCAGGGTTGACCTCTTGGTTTAAATAACCATTTTGGGTGGGTGTGCTCTTCCCTGAGGAAGACT